TTAGGTTTTGGTTCAGTTAGCAGGTTCTGGTTCAGTTCTTTAGGTTTTGGTTCAGTTAGCAGGTTCTGGTTCAGTTCTTTAGGTTTTGGTTCAGTTAGCAGGTTCTGGTTCAGTTCTTTAGGTTTTGGTTCAGTTAGCAGGTTCTGGTTCAGTTGTTTCTCCCGTTAAGTGTGTCGCCTCCAGCTGCGATCCGTCCTCTTTCTCGCCGTCTCTTCGTCTCTGATGTTGCGCCGCCGTCCTCTTCCTCTCGTCACTCCATCTGAAGTTGTGCTGCTGATGCGGTTGCCGTGGCGACGGCTGGTTTGAGAAGATCCTCAGCTGTGCTGAGAGGCCTCAGTAATGAGCAGAGCAGAGATCAGAGGTTTCTGAGGTTTCCTCTTTGATTAGAGAACGTCCTCCATCTCATCTTGTCTCGTATGGAGGAGTGGAAATGAATCACACACACAGACACACACACAGACACACACACACACACACACACACACACACACACAGACACACACACACGCAGACATGGCCCAGTCTGAGGCTAGAATCCAGTAGATGGATGATGAAGCAGCGCCGCCACAGAAATCTATTTACCAGTTTGATTGACTGCTTCAATCAAACTGTCTCTGCTCCATCTGAGGCCTTTGAGTTGCTATAGCAACCTGATTCTCCTCTCTGACATCAGGTTTCATCATCTATTTTGACGCTGGTTGTTGTGAGCTTGCCGTGCTGCTTCCAGGAGTCTGGTTCTGGTTCTGGTTCTGGTTCTAATCCAGGACTCCAGAAATGGGGCGATCAGAACCGATGCAGCTGTAAACATCTGGTTGTATCTGGTCCTCGCAGAGAAACACAGATGACTGATTGGTGGAGCTGTTGGAGGGGGAGGGCTCTGATTGGCTGGTTTAAAAGTTTTCATTTTGTCTTTTTCTTTTTTGTCTATCTCTTATTTTTTCTTTTATCTTTTTGTTTCTTTTTTCTTTTATTCTCTTTCTTTCGTCTTTCCTTTCTGGATTTCTCTTTTTGCTTGCTCATTTTTTTTCCTCTTATTCTTTTATATTTTTCTCTTTTTCTTTCTCTTTTTCTTCTTGCGGTTTGTTTCCGCAAGAAGTTTCTCTTTCATTTTTCTTTTCCTTCCATCTTTCTGTCTATTTCTTTTTCTTTTTTCTATCTTTCTATTTTCTGTTTTTCTTTTTTTCTTCATCTCATTTTGAGCAGTATTGAATATTTAGTTAAAACTGTTGATGTTTTCCGCCTCCACGTGTTAAGCCCCACCCCCCATTGTTAAGCTCTGCCCCTCTCTGTCCTCCAGGATCTCTCCCGCTCCATCGATGACCTGCTGACCGGCACCGAGGCGGCGGTGAGTTCAGGGGCCTCCGGTTCCGGCAGCACTCAGGGCGACCAGGGGACTCCGGGGGCCCGCTCTCCTTTCTCCCCCCACGTTTCGCCGCGCCTCCCCCCTCCGGCCCGAACGGGTCCCTCTCCGTCCCCGTCGCTGTCCCCTGCTGGGTCCCGCTCGGGGCCCCTGTCTCCCACCAGTGGTCCAGGTGGGATGAAGCTGATGAAGATGATGAAGACAAGTGCTGTGACCTTGTCGTTTTAACTCTGGTTCTGTGTGTTTCAGGCCCCCAGGCGGGCCCCCAGGTGTCTGGATCAGACATCGGCCCCCACTCCTCCCAGTCGGCCATGACTCCAGACCGAGGTTCGGCCCCTGCCTCCATGTTGGGCCCCAGAGCGTTGATGTTTTCTCTGATCGCTGTTTGGCTCTTCCTCAGGTTTCCCTCCCTCCATGCAGCGCAGCAACCAGGGGCCACATTTCGGCCCCATGTCCCCCCACCCAGCACCGGCTGGCCCCGGGCTCCACGGCTCCTACCAGCAGGGCAGCCACTCCTACGGCCCCCCAGGTGGGACATGAGCAGAGCTGATAGTCACAGTTACCTGAGCTGCTGACTGTCTGATCACTGGGATCAATTAAAATGTCTGATTGAACTTCTTTAAAGTTCTTTGATACAATATTTGTTGTGAATTGGTAATAATAAATTAATTTAATTGAATTATTATGAAATATTACTTCTTTACTGGAGTAAAAATTGCAACTTAATTGAATGAAGATCAAACTTGTTTTAAAAGTTTCACAACAAAACCTTTCACTAGATTTTATGAAAAACAAAAACTTTATGAAATCAATTTCTTTTATATTGAAAGGAATTGGTTGGGAAAAACATTTCTTTTGCCTGATTTTATTTTCTACTTGTTTTTTTTTTTTTGTTTAATGGTTTTGCTGCTGGCTGCACAGTGGCGCAGTTGGTAGAGCTGTTGCCGTGCAGCAAGAAGGTTCTAGGTTCAATTCCCGGCCCCGGTCTTTCTGCATGGAGTTTGCATGTTCTCCCTGTGCATGCGTGGGTTTTCTCCGGGTACTCCGGTTTCCTCCCACAGTCCAAAAAACATGACTGTTAGGTTAATTGGTCTGTCTAAATTGCCCCTAGGTGTGTGTGTGCACATGGTTGTGTGTCTCTGTGTTGCCCTGCGACAGACTGGCGACCTGTCCAGGAACGTAAGCTGGTGATAGGCACCAGCACCCCTCCCGACCCCACTGAGGGACAAGGGTGTTCAGAAAATGGATGGATGGATGGGTTTTGCTGCTTATATGAATTATTTTAATTTTGTTCCTTAAAATACCAACATTTTCACATAAATTTTTATTTCGGTCTGATGATGTAATTTTAAAATATTTATTGATGTTTTGATTATTCACTCAGGACTTGAGTAACTTTTTACCAAATACTTTTTTACTCGAGTAAAAGATTTGAGTAAAGTTTCTTATCGAGAAACTAGTCGTGTTTTGGGCCCCTGCCTGCTCTGCTGTGGCCCTTGAAGCTACAGAGGAATAAACTTGTGTGTTCCTCAGGTACCTACCCTCGGCCCCCTCACTACGGCGGGACCCCTGCAGCTGGCTACAGTGGCCCCGGCTCGGGCCCCAGCCTGGCTAACAGCATGGGGCTGAACACCGCTGGCCCCATGCACGGGCAGGGCCCCTCCACCCCGTCGGGCCGAGGCCCCGGGCCCGGAGCTGGGGGCCGCCCCTACACAACTGGACCCGGCACCGCGGCCCCCACCTCTCCCAACATGCCGCAGGCTACCGGCCAGGGCATGAGGCCCCCAGGGGCCACCGCCAGCTGCAAGCCGCCAGACATGGGCCCCAACTCTGGACCGAGCACCAACGCCTCCCTCAGCGCTCACAGCAGGTGAGAAACAGGAGACACTCTGGAGGAGAGAGCGCCCCCTGCTGGGTGGAGGCCAACAGGCTGATCTCTGTCTGAAAGTTTAAATATTGTGGACAGAAAATAAAAGATGTAAAGGAAGCCATGACCTCTGACCCTATGACCTCAGCTTAAAATGAAAAATACAACAGGATCCAATTTCCATTTTAGTTATTTTCTTTTATTTTATTATTCTCTAAAAAAGAAATTACAAACGACAGAAAAGTGGCTTTTATTTCACTCATGTCTTCTACGAGTTTTAGAGCCAAACTACGAAATTTTTGTTTAATCATGAGAAAAAGCCATAAAATTTTATAAAAACAGTGTCTTAAAATGATGGATTAAAAGTTTTTTTTTTTGTTTTTAGGAGCTGAGTGAGTAGCTCAGTTCATGTGTTTTTTTGTTCAAAGTAGAATTTTATTCTTCTTCTGTGGTTGTCAGACAAAATGGCCGCCCTGACATCACTCTGAATTATGGGAACACACAGATTCATTGGTGCAAAAGAAATCCAGATCTTTTCAAAAAACAAGAACTATAATAACTGACAAAATTGATTAATCACCCAGAGTTACCTCTGGTATTAATATTGATCGGTTTTGTTTAATATCCAGGCAGAGCAGCTTCTCAGCTATGACAGCGATGAGAGGTTCTGGAGGTTCTGGAGGTTCTGGAGGTCCGTTCAGCAGCTCAGGCAGGATGACTCCTCAGGGCCCGCCCTACACCGCTCCAGGTAGGAATCATCAGCAGCCAGGAATCATCGGCACCTCAGGGATTATAATCCATCATCTGTGTTTCGTTTTTCTCTCCATCCCTGCAGGATTAGGGATGATGGCGGCAGACGGGACAGGAAGTCATGACCTGAAGCAGCGGGTTGAGCTCCGAGACGCCGTCGGTTCTGCTGCTGATCCAACCAAAATGAAGGTTGATTTGATTTATTTCTGCAGACTCATGGTCCACATAGACATAAAAAAGAACAAAGACATGATACACAACAACACATACAAAAACCTCCTGGTTTAACAAATAAATGATTGATTAAAAACAGCTAGTAAAGGAAAATATTAAATTAATATAGATTCTGAAAAAATGAAGTTAGAGGAGAGAATAAATATAAACATTATGTTAACTAAATACAGATTATGGAAAGTGAGAAAAAAATCTACAAATAAAACGGGAAATAAATATTAGAAATGGATAATCGGCTTGGATTAATTTCCCAGCTTACTTACAGTGTAACTAAACCCCAAATCTATTTTTTGCAGATAAACTGTCTCCTTAAATGTTCTATCTTTATACATCTGTCAAGTTGTTTAATGATGCAATATTTGGTCTCAAACTGTCTCAGTGCTGCCCTCTTTGGGATGAATGTTGGTACTGCAGCTGAATTTTCCTATTGGTTCCAGTTGGTAGACGTTTACATCCCTTTACTTTTCTTTCCAAACAAGCCAATTTCTCATATTTAATCTTTAATTCCTGAAGAAACTAATTTCCACCATGTTGCTTGGCAGCTCAAATTATTCCAGGACCAAAACTGTTCAGTTTTTTTTAGTAAAAACTTCCTTTAAACCTGAGTGTGTGGCCGGTGTGTGTTTTGCAGCAGGACAGCTACGGCTCGCAGTGTGTGGTGCCGCCCCCCAGCGCCCCCTGCCCGATGTCCCCCAGCCCGGCCAGCGTGTCGTCCTGTGTGGGGGAAGACAGCGACAGCATCGGCAGCCCCGCCTGGCTCAGGACCCCGTCCAGCCCAGTAAGCCCCGCCCACAACGCTACAGAAACGTATGGAAAGAAATGTGTGCCAATATTAATACTGCAAGCAAAGAACATGTTTCAAAAACTCGATAAATTAAGTCAATGATAAAGTCAGAATTTGAAAAACTTATCAGTCAAAAAATATGTTGTGAAAGTAATTTGCAGTATATTTGGAGTAGTTGAACCCACATTTGTGCAGATTTTATTTTTTCCAATTTTTTCATATTTCAGTTCTCTTTGTGAGCGCAGCACTTTCTACTTTTAACACAGATTAAAAAGTATTACATTTGTAAAACTCTGTCTCAAAAGAAAAAATAGAAATTGGAGAAATAATCTGAAAAAATAATTTAAAAAATAAAATCTGAAAATCTGTTACTGTAGGTTTAACATTTGGAAACTCAGACATTAAGTTTTATTTTTAAATGTTTTTTTTTTTTTTTACAAATTTAAATTTTTTAAACGTTCTTCGCTTACAATAATATTGTAACTAATTTCTCTCCATAGAATGTAACAGTTGGTAACTGAAGTTATTTAAAGAGACAGAACCATTTTCCTCCGTTTCTCCTGAGTCTTGATCCGCCGCCTCTCTCAGCAGAAGCCCAACGTGGCGACCATGACCAACGAGAAGATCACCAAGCTGTACGAGATGGGCAGCGAGCCGGAGCGCCGCCTGTGGGTCGACCGCTACCTGTCCTTCATGGAGGACAGGGAGACGCCCGTCGCCACCCTGCCGGCCGTCGGCAGGAAGCCGCTGGACCTGTGCCGGCTCTACCTGGCGGTGCGAGCCATCGGCGGCCTGGCCATGGTGAGATGCTCTCCTCTCGGTTCTGCTTGGTTCTGTCTGGACCAAACTGGACCGTGTTTCTGCTCCTCAGGTGAACAAAAACAAGAAGTGGCGGGAGCTGTCGTCGCTGCTGAGCGTCGGGACGTCCAGCAGCTCGGCCAGCTCCCTGAAGAAGCAGTACATCCAGTACCTGTTCGCCTACGAGTGCAAGATGGAGCGAGGGGAGGAGCCTCCGCCTGACGCTGGCGCCGGGGACGCCAAGAAGCCCCTGCAGGTCAAGGGTCAACCGCCTTCTCCTGGTAAGACGATGCTGAACTGTAAGAGGAAGCAGCTGCTGTCAGGGATCCTGTTTCACACACTCACACACACACTCACACACACACTCACTCGGATGGGATTATGTAATGGACTTTCGGTGAGCTGTCAGCCGTGAACTCAGTGTAAATATAAACATTAGTGACCTCAGTTTGACCCAGTTACCCACAATGCCGCAGTGATTCCACTCTGCAGGGAAAACAAAACGTGTTGCTGATGATCAGCAGGAAGAACTTCCATGGATGGACCATCACACTGAGAATCCGATGGAAATGCGTTTTCTTTTTATTTCTTTTTTGCAAAGTTCTTAAAAGCAAAGTTACTGTCTCTGTAGCGCCAACCTGAAGGTGACAGTCACACAGTGTGTGTCCCTGACCTTTGACCTGTACAGGTTCTGGACAGATGGAATAATTTGTGTCAGCCTTATTAAGCTGGAGCCATTTTGGAAAGAGTCAAGGATAACTAATTATAACCAGTTTAATTTTGGGATCTAAATTTTGAAAACATGAATTATTTTGCAGTGATGATGTTTATTACTGACCCCACAAAGATATGAGACATAATTATTGAGTAAAGATGGCTCCGGTTTGCAGGATTAAGGCGTTTGGGTGGAGGCGGCGGTCAGGTTTGTGTTGAGCGTCTAAAACTTTGAGGACGTATCGACGCCATTTTGTTTGTCTCTGCAGCGAATTCGGGCTCGTTTCAGGGCCCCAACACGCCCCAGTCCAGCAGCTCCTCCCTCACCGACGCTCCGGTGGACCCGAAGCCCCCGACCCGCTCGTCCACCCCGCACAACCAGATGGCTGCCCAGCCTGGAAACAGGTGGGGGAGGGGCGTCTAAAGCAACATCATGTCCAAACCTTCTTATTAGCTCGTTTTCTGTGAACGTGACTCAGCATTTGTTTGTCTGCCTGCAGGACCATGGGAGGCGTGAGCGTCCAGGACCCGTTCTCTGAAGGCAGCGACCCGGCCTTCCACAGCAAGCGGGTCCCGGGGCCCGGCGGGGGCCCCTACCAGCAGGGGGCGGCTCCAACAGAACCCGCAATGAGAATGCAATACGACGCCAGCAAAGACCCGTATGGAGCCCCGAGGAAGGGTGAGGAGAGCCACTCAGCTCTCACTCGTAACATATTTCCCAGAATTCATAGCAGGAAGTGGAATAAACATCTGTTTCTTTACTAATAAACAAATGTATATAAAATTCAAGCTAAAGCTAGGCGTGAGAATTTATCCTTATAATTTGTTGTCATAATTAGACCTGTCACAATAATCATTAATCACAGGATAAATTTAAATGAGCTCAATAATTTCCATTTGTATAATTTATCGTTTTTATGTTTTCTCTCTGCTGGTCGAGAGGTTTGTGCTTTGGTCTCAACTGGACCTTTTTTTGAAGGATAATTTTGCCTTTTAGAAACTTCATAATTCATTTTATTTTGTTATTTGTTTTGGATATTTAAAATGTCTTCCAAGTCTTGAGTTAAATGCTCATAAGAATTTAAAGCTTATTGATCTTTGGGAATGTGTTCTTGCATTATTATATTACTTGAAAATGGTCTCAAAACAAGAATATTATCATTTATTGTAATAATGTACAGAACAATTTATCATCCAGCAAAATGTATTGGCCTAACCATAGTGAGAATGTTGATTTATATTCTCGATTAGTTTCACAAAATATCCCGTTAAAGTTCTGAGTCCATGTTGCTCACCCCTATGAGAGACCACACTGAGGATAAATGTTCAAACTGAAGAGGAGCTCTGCTGCCCTCTGGTGGCCACGTATGGACAGCATCCACTTACATCCACTTGCATCACCGCTTGCATCTCCATCAGTGTTCAGTTTCCCTCCTTTCAGGCAGAAAAACTGTTTACGCAGAAATTGAACTGCATCCTCAAAGGGATTTTGGTTGGTTCAGGTCCGGTTCCCGGCGAGGCCTTCGGTCAGAGCCAGATGCCCAGCGGTGCGATGCAGGACATGTTCCCCCGCGGACCCTCCTCCGGCCCCCTATCAGGGATGGGGCCCAGGCCGCAGTACCCCTACGGCCCCGGCTACGAGAGCAGGTAAGACCCGGCTCCGCTGTCGCTCCCTCATGCCAGGTCTAAACCTGAAACCGGCTGAGTGTTGGTGCCACTCTGGTGCAGATTGGACAATGTGATGGGCCCAGAGGGAAGCATGGCGCCCCCTGGCGCCCAGAACAGCATGGGCCCGTCTGCCAATGAAGCCAGCATGTATCCCCCCAACAGATTCCCCCAGCAGAGGTGAGAGAATGTGATAAAGCTTTCAGTTTGTTAACTGAGAGGCGTTCCACATGGCTGTCTGTTAGGACCCCTGCTTTTTCAATGCATATGAGGCAGAATGGAACAAGTTATCATCATTTAATGGATTCTAATAGAAAGATACTAATGTACATCAGAATCGACACAAACTGTCCCACTTTTTTCTTTTAAATGTAACCAGGTTGGTGTAATGTGGTTGAATAAAACTCAGTTTCTGTCTTCAGGCACGGACACGATGGATTTGGTCAGCAGTATCCTCACAGTATGGCCTACAGTTCCCATCAGCCCCTTTACCCCCAGCAGCAGGTGAGTGCTCTGTACCTGTGACCCAGGAAGTGATCAGTGACGATGTGTGTAATGATGTCTGGATCACTGACATCGGTTTTCACAAAAATATTTCAAAATCGTGACGGTCCCTGACGGCCCCTGACGATCTGGGTCCCTGACGATCTGGGTCCCTGACGATCTGGGTCCCTGACGATCTGGGTCCCTGACGATCTGGGTCCCTGATGGTCCCGGTCCCTGATGGTCCCGGTCCCTGACGGTCCCTAACGGTTCTGGTTCTGTCCCTGCAGGGCTACAAGCGTCCGATGGAGGCCATGTTCCCGGCTGCGAAGCGTCATGAGGGCGAGGCGTTTGCCGTGCAGCAGTTTGGCTCCCAGCAGCCGGACCCTTTCGGCCCCTACGGATCCGGACCTGGGGGGTTTTCAGGACCTGAGCGCCGGCCCGTCCCCGGGCAGTACCAGTACCCATACGGCCGCGACCGACAGGCCCCCCCACAGCACGGCATGATGGGATCGGCCCCTGCGGCGGCGACAGATGGGGGGCCGCAGCCCAGCTTGTGGCCCCCCAGGACAGAGATGGGGATCTTGTACAGCCGGCAGGGCCAGGGGCCCCCCTTCCCAGACCAGGAGGGCCGGCCCCCACACGACACCCAGTGGGCCCCCAGTCACCTGAACCAGTGCCAACCTCCCTTCCCCTCCCACTCTTCTTCCTCCTCCTCTTCCTCCATGCCCCCTCTCCCCTCCAGGCAGCCCCCCTCCTCTTTCCAGGCCACGCCCACCATCCCAAAACACGTGACCCGCCCCCAGAGCCCCTCGTCATTCCCCCGTCCTCCGGTGGGCTCCCTGTCCCCCAACGGCGCCCCCTACCTGCCTGTTAAGAAACCAGGTGTCCCCACCGTTCCCCCGGCCAATCAGGGCCTCCCCCTCGTTTACAGAGAGGTCGTTTTCCCACCCGGCTCTGTGGAGGCCACACCCCCCAAGCTGAAACCACGGCGACGGCTAACGGCGAAGGACACAGGTGAGACCAGCGCCGCTCCATAGAGGTCACATGACCAGGAAGCCATCCTTAAAAAGTCTTAAATGTCTAAGATTAAGGCCTTAATTTAATTTGCTGTTGCGGCTACCGCTAACTAGCTGTTAATATACACTAGCTAGCTAACTATCTCCCAATGATAAAGTGAGGTAGCTGTTCATGTTTCTAACGTTAAGGCCTTAAAACGTCTTAATTTAAAAACAATAAGTTTAATACATTAAACATGGGTTTTAAATTTTGTTGAGGCAGAAATATTTAATCTCATATTCCAAGTAGTAATTTTTTTTTTGTGAAACATCACTGTTACATCTTCATTGCGTTCTGTGGCTCAAGGCGGTTGCTAACTGCTGCTAACTGATATATCTTTGCTAGCTAGCAAGCTAACAACTTCTGAATATTTCTATTATGATCTTAAATTTCATTCATGACGGCCTTAAAGTCTTAAATTTGAGTTGGTGAAACCGCGCTGAGCCTCACTCTGATCGGCTTTGTCAGGAACGCCGGAGGCCTGGCGGGTGATGATGTCACTGAAGTCGGGGCTCCTGGCGGAGAGCACCTGGGCGCTGGACACCCTCAACATCCTGCTGTACGACGACAGCACAGTGGGCTCGTTCAGCCTGACGCTGGTGAGGCGCCGCGCCTGAAACGCTGAGCTTACTGAAGTTTTTTAGATCAAATCCAAACGTTTGCTTCTCGACTGCAGCTGCCCGGGTTCCTGGAGCTCATCGTGGAGTTTTATCGCCGCTGCCTCATCCAGATGTTCGGCATCCTGCAGGAGTACGAGGTCGGGGCCGAGGGCCCGAAGATGACCCCCGAGGAGCCGGGGGAGGCGCCGTCGCCGCTCGACACGGAGGACGCCAAACCTGAGGATTCCCCTCAGCAGAGCAGCAAGTATGACAAGCGGCCAGTCAGGGTGGAGGAGGCCGGGCAGAGCTGGGAGGAGGTGGAGCGCCGGGCCGACCCGAGCCGACCCAACGGCTTCATCAGCGGCCTGCTGCACTGGAAGGCCGGAGGAGGAGACTCCACGGCTCACATCCAGACGCACTTTGAGCCCCGAACCGGAGACTTCAGCCCCCCAGACCTGGAGCAGGAGGAGCAGCGAACCCAGGAGGAGGAGCAGATGGGTCAGCAAGGAGGTAAACGGGTCAATATGGGGCCGAGCTCCCAGTCTGCAGCTCTGACTGGTCTTCAATGTCTGCTGTTTCAGACTTTGCAACATTGATCAGCTGCTCCTGGTTGTTGCTGTTTCTGCTCTGCAGGCTCTCCATCTGAGGTCAGAGGTCAGCACCCGGCCCCTGCGGAGGCTCAGAATCCCATCAGCCTCCAGGAGGACGAGCCGCGCTGCTGGGACGAGGCGCCGCTGTCCACCGCCGAGTCGTGGCAGGACTCCCTGGCCAGACGCTGCATCTGCGTCTCCAACATCATCCGCAACCTCTCCTTCGTTCCCGGCAACGACGCCGTCCTGTCGCGCCACCCAGGCCTGGTTCTGATCCTGGGCCGGCTGGTTCTGCTGCACCACAGCCACCCGCGCAGGAAGCGGGCGCCGCCCACCTACCAACGGGAGGAGGAAGCGGGCCGGGCCTGCAGCCGCGACGAGTGGTGGTGGGACTGCCTGGCGGCGCTGCGAGAGAACACGCTGGTGACGCTGGCCAACGTGTCGGGCCAGCTGGACCTGTCGCAGTACCCCGAGAACATCGTCCTGCCGGTGCTGGACGGGCTGCTGCACTGGATGGTCTGTCCGTCCGCCGAGGCGCAGGACCCGTTCTGCGGGGCCAGTGGCGCCGCGGCGCTGTCGCCTCAGCGGCTCGTCCTGGAGTGCCTCTGCAAGCTGAGCGTCCAGGACTGCAACGTGGACCTGCTGCTGGCCACGCCCCCCTTCAGCCGCCAGCAGCAGCTCTTCGCCACGCTGGTGCGCCTGGTGGGCGAGCGCCGCAGCCAGGTGTGCCGGGAGATGGCGGTGGCCGTGCTCTCCAACCTGGCGCGTGGCGAAGCCACGGCGGCTCGGGCCGTCGCCCTGCAGAAGGGCAGCGTGGGAACTCTGATCGGCTTCCTGGAGGACAGCCTGGCCGTGGCGCAGTACCAGCAGAACCCGCACGCCGCCGCCGCCATGGCGCCAGAGCCGCCCAGCATCAACATGATGTGCCGCGCGGCAAAGGCGCTGCTGGCCGTGGCGAGCGTGGAGGAGAATCGGCCGGAGTTCGTCCTGTACGAGAGCCGGCTGCTGGACATCTCGCTGTCGTCGGCCCTCAACTCGGCGGTGGCGGCCATCATGTGCGAAGTGCTGTTCAAGCTGAGCCGCTCGTGACACACAGACCGCCATGGAGCGTGCTCAGTGGGACCGACCGGGTCCGATTCTATTTTTATTTAAAGAGACAGAAAGAAGTTTTTACGTAGAAATGAAAATATATAGAATATATAAAGCTCCTCGGTTCCATCCACAGATGTTTATTTGGGGTTTTTAAATAATTTTAATACAAAAAAATATTTAATACTTTTTAATTTTCTAAAAATTTTCAGTTTTTTGTTTTGTTTGAACCAAAGTGTTTTGACGGATGGCGACGGGGATGGAATGCTCTTAATTTTTTTTAAACAAGCGTGCTCATTTCTTTCCGTTTGCAGGGCTGCTCCGTGTGGGCGGGGCTTGCTGTTTGTGGGCGGGGTCAGGGTTGTAGATAAACATCCTTTTTTTAACGTGTTATGACGGAGGAAACACTGATGTTCAGTCGTGTTCTTTGTTCTGGTGCAATAAGTTTGTTTTGACGTTTTTTGTTTTTTTTTTAAATGTGAATTTTTGAACCATCCGCAGTTCAAACGCCGCTTCGCCTCCGCGGAATGAGGCGATGTGGGCGGAGCTGCATCCCATTCTGTTCCCACCAACATCCTCCTGTAAATATGTACATTGCAGCTCCAGCAGAGGGCGCCGGTCACATCGGCTGACAGATTCAGGATGTGTCCAAGGGAGGCGGGTGCGTTTGATTTGACGGACTGCGTGTACAGGCTGTGGGGGCGGGGTTTCACCGACGCCGCTTCAGAAACAGTTGTAAACAAATGTAAAGAGAGAAAAATGACTTTGTTTCTTCAGTATGAGATCTTTATATGTTCCACAACATGTTAAAGAATAAATGTACATGAACTCTGGTTGAGCACTGTGAACAGAGCGCCACCTGCTGCTTTTCTTTGACTAAACCGGAGCGGAAAGGAAAACCTGAACGGGAGCGTCACTGTCAAACAGCTAACAGTGATGCCAGTAGTTAGCATTTTTAGCTTGTCCACATCCATACAGCTCCATGTCACCTTGGATGATAAAATGTTGAAGTTTGATGCTTTTTGCAATCCAAAAAAAGAAAAGAAAAACAGTCATAATTATGAGATTAAAAGTAATTTGTACCACCGTAGGTCTGCATGACTTGAATAAACGGGTCGATGTTTTGAGGACACATTTAGCTGTTGTAATTTAAGCGTTGGAGCAGAAACAAAAACATTCAGGCTTACATTTGTCTTACTAAAAATCTGACAGTGCTGGACTGTTAGTTGAAAAAAAATAATCTTTGGTGCCATGAGGTTAAGATGTTAAAACGGATCAATAAAGCTAATTTCTTAACTAGTATAATCAAAGCCTATCAAATTAAAATTTGGAGACATTTTAAGCTAAAGTTTAACATCAGACTGTAAAATGGAGAGCAAAACCAGAAGAGTTCAAATCTCACAGATCAGGAGCTAGAGATGTAAAGATGCATAAAAACTGTTACAAGGATTTATTTAGTTTACAATTAAAACAAACAAAATGGATCACAGTGATATCTATACTTTTTCTCTTTGAAAAATAATTTCTGAAAATCTGGTAAACAGTTCCCAGTAAGAAGCAAGACCCTTATTTTTCTTACCATTCTTGACTTTTCCTAAGTTGGAAAAATCAGGATAATCTTTTTCAAGTCTCAAAGTGTTTTTCTCCAGAAATATCTGGTAAACCCAATGGAACCGAGCATCGAGCCCTGAGGAACTCCATGCAGTTGCTGAAAACCTGTGGTGGGCACCGCTAACTAAAAAGTTAGCTGTGCTAACTCTAAAACATGAATCGTGAACATTAGATCTGCTAACACTATAGCGCTACAACAACATAGTATTCAGAAGAAGCTAATGCTGAAGCACTAACTTTTTCTTCCAAAAATGTAAAAATCTGCATTCATCTTTAGTTATATTCCTTAGTTTTACTATTCTTGCTTGCAACTTTACACTCAAAAAATCATGCCTATTTATAAGTCACATTGATCAGTCCCACCACCATTTCATGATCAATTTTGTAATTTTTTTTCAATCAAAATTACTGATAAAATTGTTGTTTGACTTTTTGTTACTTGCCGTATTAATTGGAGGAAATAACTTGACATCAAATAAGGCAATACTTGCGTAACATTTGCAGAGGTTTGTTGATTTTGTGTGATCACAAAAATCTGGAGGGACTGATTAATGTGATTTGCCTTTAAACTGGTAACTTGATAAAACATTTAAACACAAATGTTTTCTTGAAGGTTCTACTATGTGTTCCTTTGGAGATTAGACGGCCACATAAGTAGCTTTGGTGAGTCAGATTTGGCTCCCGGGCCTTAAGTTTGACACATATCAGAAAAAAATCCTCCATAAAACTTAAAATTTCACAACATTTAAATATTTTTTATTTACAATATGTGACTGTTATTGTTCTGGTATGACTTTATCTTCATAATTTTACATTTCCCAGCTGTAAAATCTCCACAGGGTCAGAATGGTTTTCAGTCTCTGGCTGATCCCTGTGGTTTGGACCCTAAGATGGCGTCCCAGTCCAGCGGTTCTGATCCGGCTGCGGCCTCTGGATTCCTCGGGATGGCCGGGAAGAACGACTCCATCTTCTGTCTGAATTCTGCCAACTGCAAGAGACATGGAAAGGATCAGAAACCTGCAAACATCCCACAATATGTCCTCTAAACTGAGCTGCTTCCAGAAAAATACTTTAAATATTTATTCACCTTTTTAACCAATGTAAACATTTTTTTTTATTTTACACATTAATTTGAAGTCATTTTCAGTTATTTTTGTGAATTTCAATCAATTGTTTGAATTTTCTCCAGATATAATCCAAACTTTCCTGTCTATTAGAAACAAACGTACGCTGTGGATGCCGAGAGCTTTCCACACGGCGACGCTGAGCAGACCCACTCCACACCAGGCGTACAGGGAGCCCCAGCCCAGCGCTCTGAGGGCCAGGGAGGCCCCGGACTCGGGGGCCACGGCTGTCGCTGCCACACCCTGCAGAGGAAACAGGTTTTCAGCAGCTGGTTGGGTTCATGTTACCTTAAGAAGGAGATTTTCCTTCTATCTGCCAAAGCTGTCTGATGGCAACCAATAGGATTCTAGAGACGGTAACCATGGCGATGTTAGAAGAAGCACTAGAATTTCTGTTCTAGCACAGGAAACTTTATGACCAAATATGGACAGAACTCTGCAAACGTCCAATCAGATCTCAGGGGGCACATGACTCCTGCTGAGGAAATCGTTCACACTAACAGAGTCGCTCGCAGTTTGGCCCCTGAATCTTTAACCATTTTAGATTTTGGCCCTTGAATATTTGATCTTTTTTTAACTTTGGCCCTTTTGTCATAAGATTTTTACACTTTGGCCCCTGATGAAGGTTTAATTCCAGAGAGAAATATGATTTCCTGACGTATTTCGGTTCGGTTCTGTTTTCTAGTAAACGTACACAAAGCTGCCGGGGCCCCCAGCTCAAATCAAATCTCCCGTCAGACGACAAAGCCCGCTGTGTGATGGAAATAGAACGGAGGAACAGCGGCCGGATTGTTCGCCTCAGAAGGACCAGAACTGCCGCCTCCTTCTCAGAACCGCCACCAGATCGAGAGTCAGGAGGGAAACGGACGTCATCGTTTCACAAACAGCTTTAACTTTTCAAACCGGATTAGTAGGAAGAGTGATGCTCTGGAGTTCACACCAAACATCAGGCCGTTCTGCTTAAACTCACACCAAATCCTCCTAATATCAGAATATTAGCAGAATAAATCCAGACATTTGTAAAATTGTTTCTAAGTTCTGCTACCAGTAACAATTAAAGGTGAAGTATGTCCTGATTTGTAAAATGGACACTAAATTGTAACTACAAGGTAATTAAAACTCCTCATTTTGTGTTTATTTGTTTTTGTGTAGGAGACAAAATAACTACTTCATTCTACAAATGATCACTTTTTTCTCATATTAGGACTAAATTATCGTATGGTTATTTGTCGTGCGACTTTATTCTCATAATTTTTTTCTCATATTACGACTTTCTTTTCATATTATTACAACTCCATTCTCGTAACTTATAAAATTACAACTTTTCTCGAATTATAACTTTATTATTGTAATATGACTTCTCTTGGTATTACGACTTTCTTCTAGTATTATTACAACTTTATTCTCTCAATCTTGTAACTTTTTCTTGAATTATTGACTTTTCTTGTCTTATTACTTTATTCTCAAATTATGACATTTTTTGGAATATAACTTTATTCTCATATGACTTTTTTTCTCAAATTATTTTTAGTTTACTGTCGTATGTCTGTTTTCCCATAAAGTTGTGACTTTAGTCTTGTGATTAATTTTTTCCCAGTCTGGCTCCATTCTTCTTTCTGGAAAACATTTTTCCTGCTGGGCTGACTTTACCTTACTGAACCACTCTGGGCTCTTCTTCTTGGCCAGCGCCAGCGTGGAGCCGAACCCAGCGATCATCCCCGCCGAGGCCACTGTGGTCAGAAACACCGCACCTGCAAACAGGAAGCCAGGTGAGGAGTGATGCCGCAGCAAACGGGAAGTCAGTTGAGCTGTGATGTCACAGGATTCAGCTGCTAAATCACCAATCACTGACATAAAGGGGGAAAACAGGAGATTCTCTGTGTTTGGACATCGGTACCAGGTTCTGCTGATGACCCAGTTTGGACCAAGCTTCAAATTTGATAAACAGAGGAGATAATAGTGCAAAACAAGCCCGCAGCATCACACCTCCACCACCATGCTTGGAGGGATTTATGAAGCTAGTTAGCTTCCTTCCTGTTTTGTTGTGAATAATCCAAATGTTTGTTGATATGTGTCATACTCATGTTATTATAAGTGCTTTGACATCAATAAAATAGAAAACACACTGAAACTGAAAAGTGCTGTTCTCCAATGTCACGGTGTCTTTCTGATCTGATATTACACGAAAACAGTGGAATCAGAGTTTTGTCTTGGTGGGTAAATTATCAGCGGAATAGTTGGGGGCATTTCAAAAAGTCCTCCTTATACATGTCAGTGACCCCTGACCTCTGCAGCCGCACTCAGGTGAGCTGAACCTTAAATCGATAGATTTTTGACTGAAGTTCGGCGGCAGCGGCTCCGTTTGGTTTTAACCTCCATTCAATCTGCAGCTGCTCACCTTTTAACACATGATGTCCGTCCTTTTCATCAGTATCACGGTTTGTTCTGACAACAGAGTCTCCGCCAACATCCGCGACCGTCATGCTGTTTCGGTCCGTCTCCGTAAAACGTCCGGGTACAAACACTAAAAATAGGAATCAGATATTATTTTCCAGGGAATTAGTGAAGAAACCCCACAGAAATATGACAACTTCACTGAAGATACCTTATAGGTTTTTATTTTCACTGCGTTTTAACGACTAACCATTTTAACCAGAAGATAAAGAGCCAGAATCCTGAACCAAAGATCGTTTATTACTTCTTGAGGCGGATTAAACTGGACACTGAAAGCAAGGGACTCACTACAGTATAATATCTTTTAAAATATAATATTTTACATATAGAAAGCAGCTATGAAAGCAATGTAAATGTAAAAACGTTAAATAGAATATATTTTAAATATGAATTCCAGCTTGAAATAAAAGTGGGCTAAGAAGATGCCATGTTATTTTAAAAAACGAGCTTTAAATAATAAAGCTGCTTTCATCAAGTTAAAATGTCCTCATACCATAAATAAATAATTACAAGAAGCGCTTATTTGCTATAGTGGTTACAAATATTTTGTCATAAATTGTTGAGGAAGTTCTAGATACTTTTCAAACTTACAATTTTTAGTAAAGTTTAATTTTTGTTTGTTTGTTTATTTATTTATTTGTTTGTTTGTTTGTTTGTTTGTTTGTTTGTTTGTTTTTCAAGAAATTTTGTTTTCATTTCATATTTTCTTAATAACCTGACAGACAAAACTGAAGGATAAATACGCTAAGGATGGTCAACAAAGCCCTCCGTTTTGACTGGAAGGTTGTTTTTTGTGTGTAGTGACACATCCTGGTGGTGATAGAGGATCTCCGCAGGCTCCAGCGGCTCTGCGGAGGATCGGGATGCTCTTCACCTCCTCCTCTTCCTCTTCCTCCTCATCCTTTTCCTCCTTTCCACGGACGCGGACCATCTGAACGCCCGGTAACCTGGATCACACCCACTCCCATCTAGAACCGGAACCAGTTCACATCCAGGGACTGAGTCCGGAGAAGACGGATATGGTACCGAACCGGAGGTTCTAGCGCGTGCATTTGTTTACAGAACAAATTAATTGTAACAGTGATAAAACCCGGTGGCTTCTGTTTGGGTTCGTGATGGAAATACGGGCTCATCCGCGCGCGCACCTTTGATTATCGTTTCATCTCCGCGCGCGCTCACCTGTCAGGACTCATGTCTCAGATCCAGCACGCGGTTCCGGACGCACCGATCCGGTACACGCAGATCTGCACCCGCAGCAGCAGCTGCTCCTCCCCGCAGACCTCATCCTCCGCCGCCGCCGCCGGCACCGAGCCGCCGTCCTGCACCGGACACCGCGGCCGGACCCCCCGCAGGAAGTGGCAGGTGTTCCCGGGGCGGAACCGGTTCTACTGCGACGGGCGGGTGATGATGGCGCGGCAGACCGGGGTGTTCTACCTGACCCTGGTGCTCATCCTCCTCACCAGCGGCCTCTTCTTCGCCTTCGAGTGAGTCACGTTTGGGCTTAAAGTTTGTATTTCAGAATATTTAGATGGGAAAACTTTACGTTAAACTTTAAATGTTTGTAAAAGTGGAGATTATAATCCTAAATTCATTCAATCTGAAGAGTTGGGTTTTGATTCAGCCTCTTTCTGACACATTTTACACACTTTGGGCCCCTGAATTACTATTCAGCAACATTCTGGGCCCCCAACTTATTGGAAACTTTCACTTTTGGCCTCTAACCTGTTGATTAACACCTTTGGGCCCCTAATTTGTTGGTGATAAACATTCTGGGCCCCTAACTTTTGAAATCTAACAATCTGGGCCCCTAATTTGTTGGTGATAAACATTCTGGGCCCCTAACTTTTGAAATCTAACAATCTGGGCCCCTAATTTGTTGGTGATTAACACATTAGCCCTTAACTTTTGAAATTTAGCATTTTAGGCCCTTTATGTGTTGGTAATTAGGCCCCTGAATTATTGGTAATTAACAATCTGGGCCCCTAATTTATTTGTAATTAACACATTGGCCCCTAACTTTTGTAATATAACATTTTGGGCCCCTGACTTGTTGCTAATTAACATTGGGCCCCAACCTCAATAAAAATGATAACTTGTCTCAATGTTTTGTTTCCTCCTGCTGTATCGAGCTCTCTGATTGGTCGAAGCGCTCAGCCCGTCTCTCTGTGTCCTCAGCTGTCCCTACCTGGCGTCCAATCTGAGTCCGGCCATCCCGGCCGTCGGCGCCGTCCTCTTCGTCTTCGTCATGGGGATGCTGTTCAGGGCGAGCTTCAGCGACCCCGGCGTCCTGCCCAGGGCGACGCCCGACGAGGCCGCCGACCTGGAGAGGCAGATCGGTAACCATGGAGACACAGATTAGTGGGCTTGTTGCAGAAGTCTGGAGTTTGTTGTTGTTCAGCAGTTTCCCTCCTCCTTCGCGCCGTCGGAGCGCTGAGTCACATGTCGCCTCCTGGTTTCCATGGAAACTGAAAGTCGCCGTCTATTTCTGGAAGTCGGTCATTCCCTGATTTACTTCCTGATGCAGAGAGACGGAGACGATCAAACATGGAGGACGATGATGGCGACTCCGTCAGAGGAAGAAGAAGACAGGAGCCGCCATTTTGTTTCTGAAACTCTAGGAAGTTCTCCTGATTCCAGATAAACAAATTCATCCATCAAAGATACATCCAACCATCTAAACATCCAACCACCCTTCTAAGCATCCATCCATCCATCCATCCAACCACTCATCCAAACATCCAACAAATCCACTCATCTATGTATCCATTTGTCCATCCATCCTTCTAAACGTCTGTTTGTCCATCCAACCATTCACCATCCATCATCCATTTATCCATGCATCTAAACATCCATCCATCCAAATATTCATCCACTAAACATCCAACCACTCATCCATCCATCAAAGTTTTTATCTTTATTTTATTTTTATTTTATTTCTATCTAGTCGCTCTACTTCAGGAGTCATTTGTATTTCAGTTTTCCTCTTTGACCTCTTAGATCTTGACCTCTCAGGCCTTTGACCTCTTAGATCTTGACCTCTTAGATCTTGACCTCTTAGATCTTGACCTCTTAGATCTTGACCTCTTAGATCTTGACCTCTCAGGTCTTGACCTCTCAGGTCTTGACCTCTTAGATCTTGACCTCTCAGGTCTTGACCTCTCAGGTCTTGACCTCTCAGGTCTTGACCTCTGAGGTCAGAGTGTGTTGTACCAGCAGCTGTCACCTCGTCTCTGAGCTGTTGTTTGTTTTCAGACTCGACCGGCTGCTCCAAGCCTCCGCCTCGCACCAGAGAGGTTCTCATCAACGGTCAGACCGTCAAGCTCAAGTACTGCTTCACCTGCAAGATCTTCCGGCCGCCGCGGGCGTCCCACTGCAGCCTCTGTGACAACTGTGTCGGTCAGTTTACCTCGTATGTTTCTGCTTCCTGTCACTTTCAGCCATGGATTTACATTTTTCTCCAATCTTTCATTGAATCTCGGGTTTCTCCAGGTTCTTTAAGCACTAATTTTTGCCAGTTTTTTGTTGCTGCAGAGCGTTTCGACCATCACTGCCCCTGGGTGGGGAACTGCGTCGGACGGAGGAACTACCGCTTCTTCTACCTCTTCATCCTCTCCCTCTCCTTCCTCACCATCTTCATCTTCGCCTTCGTCATCACACACGTCGTCCTCAGTGAGTAACCGAGCTTCTGCCGCCTCCTCACATTGTTTTCTGTTGTGACTCAGCAGCTAATCTCTTTAGAAATCTGCTGAAAGGTTTCTAATATTCAGGAGACAAAACTTTGAGAAAGTGTTAAATAATCCAACCTTTATTTCACAGATTACAATGAAAGAGTGTTTAGGTAATTATCCCACTAAAAATTAGATAATTATGTTGCATAAAATGAGATCAGAGTGACAGGGAGAGGCAGCTATGCATAAAAATACAGAAAAACAGAAAAAAAGTCGCACTTCAACCGTTTTTGTTTAATTGACCTAATTAAAACCTGATTTTTCTTATAATTCCTGATTTTTTGAAAACTGGAAAATGGTTTAGGTTAACTTCCAAAATCACAATTTTCAAGTCAGAAAATGTTATTTTGCTCCAGAAAACATTAAAAACAATAATAGGATCAGGCATAAAACCATGAGGATCTCCATTCAGATGCTAAAAACCTGTGGCTGTTACAGCTAAAGCTAGTTGTGCTAGCCCTAAATCTCTAATCATAAACATTAGTTCTGCTAATGCTAATGTGTTACAACAACATAGTATTTAGTTGAAGCTAATGCTAAGGCGCTAAGTTAAAAACGTTGATACCCACCATGCGTCAATGAAACAACACATTTTCAAAGTTGCAAAAGCACTAAACTAAAAATTAGCAGAAGTATTTTTACCGCTCATGAAATCTGATATAAACTCACAGAACCATCATTTTTGGATAATTCATCCCAGTTTTGATTTGTTTTTTCCTTTTTTCCTTGAGGAACTTCATGCAGTTCATGCAGCTAAAAACTACTGGTTGTACCGCTAATCTGCAATAGCACAACTAATCCTGAATATTAGTTGTGCTAAAGCTTTAAAACAACATAGTATTTAGTGGAAGCTATTGCTAAAGCGCTAACTACAACAATGTTGATGCCCACCATGTAAATGTAAACAATGCAAAACTATTTCAAAGTTAGCTTTCAATGCTAGCTCTGCTGTTAGCGGCTTGTTTGCCATCCACTGCTAAAAACTGATACAGAACAGTTTTTTGATCATTCAGGGTGAATCTATTTCATGTTTCCTGCTGTTTTTGTGTTGGAAAGGTTTAAACCCGTCACGTTAACTAATTTCACTCCACTGAACCCGGGGGTAGAAAGCAGTTTCTGTGCTGACGGAGGTTTAACCCTGATCACTGGTTTCTGGGGATTTTTCCTGTCATCAACCAGACTCTCTTCTCAGGCTGTTAAAGTTGTTTATGTGGCCCGAAGCTCCAAACTCCAGAGCTGTGAGGCTTTTTAACAACCAGCAGACTGTCTCAGATAAACTCGTGTTTTCTTCTGAGCGCTCCTTGTTTTCTGTTTTTAGCAGCGCTGCTATAAAAAGATGCAGCACAGAGTGGTGACTTTGATCTGCATGAAATTAACTGCAGCCTCTGACGCCTTCACTTCTCCTCAGCGTCTTTGTGTGTTTAAAACACAAAAACAATCCCTCAAAGGTTAAAACTTTGAAATGTTTCTGTGGTTTTCTCATGATTTTTGACCCTTTCCAGTTGCTTGGTTTCCTGTCTTCACACCTCGCTAACTCCATTAGCTCAATGAGATTTAGCTTGTTTTAGCAATAAAATCTTTTTCTGTCTGACTGTGGAGGACTGTTTTTAGATTTAGCTTAAAAACAGCAACATCTTCATGGTGATTCAGATCTTCACTGTAAAACAGAAATATTGGGATGAATGGGTGAACTTTATTAATGAAGTTATGAATCTCTTCTTCTTTGTTGTTTTCCAGGATCAAACCGGACCGGATTCCTGACCACACTCAAAGACAGTCCAGCTAGATATCCTTCAGAGACCAAAGGTTCTGCTTGTTGAGCCAGTAAAAGTTCTGAAACAAAACAAACCGCTTCTTTTGACAGAAACGTCACATTTATACATATAAAACACAAAATTACTTTATTGTGAATCCAGTCTTGACTAAAAAAATCAAGCTGAAAGTGTGGCTGGATGTGCAGCCATTAGCATAGCTGTAAAAGTGGCGATAAACTTAGCTATAAGTGTAAGCATAGTCGTTAGCATGGCTGTTTAAGTGTAGCCGTAAGAGTTATTTTGTTAGCGTATTCGTTAGCATAGCTGTAGGCAAAGCTGGATGTGTAGCCGTTAGTGTAGCCATAAAAGTGGTGTTAAACTTAACCACTACTGTAGCCATAAGCATGACTGTGTGAGTGCAGCTGTTAGCATGGCTGTAAGAGTGGCTGTATGTGTAACTGTTAGTGTGGCTGTAAAGTTACCATTAGCACAGCCGTAAAAGTTACGATAAATGTAGCCGTTAGGATAGCCATAAGCATCTTTATGCTTGGCTGTAAGCGAAGCTTTTAGCGTGGCTGTAAAACTGGCTGTAAACATAACGGTTAGCATAGCTGTTAGCTGGGATTCATCATCTATTTGGCTGTAAGCAGAACCAATCTGATCAGGAAAAGCTGTAAACATTCAGCCTTTCCAACATGGAGTTCAGATCTGACACAGAAAATCCACCACAGGCATTAATTAGCTCCCATACAGCCCCTCCCCTCCCCGTTTCTGATAAATCAATCCCTGATGCTGCCACCATCTACAGCTCGATATGTCCTGTAATGCACTGCCAAGGTCAAAGTGTCGCCATCCTGACAGGGACATCGGCTTCCCTGATGGGGGAAATGAATCAAATCCAGATGAAACATTTCAGTTTGTTTTCGAGTCGTGAGCCTCCATGTTTGACTCCTTCACTCCGCGCTGCACCATCCTGGAGGTGGTGGTGTGCTTCTTCTCCGTCTGGTCCATTGTGGGCCTGTCGGGCTTCCATACCTACCTTATCAGCTCCAACCAGACCACCAACGAGGACGTGAGTATCCCAGCGCTCCCAGTTAGACCAACACGACCGATCTGATGGATTAACCCCGGTGTTCCCGTTCAGATCAAAGGAACCTGGTCCAAAAAGGAGGGAAAGGACAATTACAACCCCTACAGCTACGGAAATGTCCTGACCAACTGCTGCGCGGCGCTTTGTGGGCCGCTGCCTCCCAGGTCAGCAGTAAACCAGCACTAATGCTGGTACAGGTAACCATGGCAACCACAGATAACTCAGGTAACCAGAGGTAAAGCCATTACCAAGATCAAGGCTAAAGTCTGTCATGGTAACTGATTTAGCTGGACGATAAAATATCCCAGAAGTTATTGAGATAAACGATAATATTGTGCTTTGACACTATTTTCAACTAATATAATGCAAGAAGATATTCTCAAAAATCAATAAATTTAATGTGTTAATGAACATTGAACACTGGAACTTAAGACATTTTAAATATCCAGAACAAATAAACAAAACAAAAAATAAAATGGACTGAAAAAGGGGCTAGTTGAGGCCAAAGCACCAGATCTTTGGTAGAAAAAGAAAAACGATAAATCATGCAAATGGAAATTATTGAGTTTGTTTAAATTTTTGTGGGGTTACTAGATTTATTGCTTATTGCAACAGAGCATATATGAAATAGGACTAAAATCTGGGTCAGAAAACAAAAATAAACAACTAAAAACCTAAATCTTGACTAAAATCTGCTTCAGAATCAGGACTAAAAAGAATTTCAGTCAGAACTAAACAAAACCAGAAATCATTACCTAAATCAGGAGAACTATTTTTTATTTAAACATTTCAGCCTAGTCCCACCACTAATATTAATATAGACAGAGGAAAAAACAGACACAAAAACCTCTGAACTTCTGAATAACAGCTGTGGATTTCAGGTCAGGAGGGAATCACCATAGCAACCAGTGACCAACCACATTTTGTGTATTAGCTATAATCATTAGCTATAATTCATAGCTAATGATAATAAAAGATAGAAACCTTTAATATTGCTAGTTGCTGCTGCCATTCAACTTATCTGGGATCATCAGTTTGGGTTTGGAGCCGTGACCTCTGACCTCTCTTCTTGTTTGTGTGCCAGTCTGATTGACAGGAGGGGTCTGATCCAGGCCGACACGCCGCAGACCGCGCACCAGTCCAACGGGACCGGCGGCGGCAGCTACGCCCCCACGCAGCTCCACAGTCACATGGTAGGTGGATATCACCCAGGGTGGCTGCAACACGGGGGCGGAACTTCCTGCCAATTCTGCTGCTTTCACGCAGCAAAGATTTCCTTTGTGCCGCTGACATTTTACATTTACTAGTACATCGTTCCCACAAGTCTGAACCGGAGGTGATCCAGCACCACGTCACTGAACCGTCAGCTTGGTAGGAAAGCTTAGTGCAAAGCCTAGCTGAACCATGGCTTCCATAGTGACACTCTTCATCAATGTGCAAGAGAAAGAGACATCAACAAAATGGCTGCTGTCAGGATTGATCTGTATGAGACAGAGAATATGGCTTGTTTATTGTTGTCATAGCAACTCCATAGCAATGGTCATGACAATTGGTTACCTACCAAGACGGCTACCAGCTGCAAAGTTCCCAGGAGTGTTACATTACATGCTGTGTATATCTATAAAACGATGGCGGCACAAACGATTTGGTCAGATCTGAATAAGTTTGGGTTCCAGCTTCACTCCGGTCTCCTCCTGTCCTCCCAGTGCGACCAGGACCAGTGCCTCCAGAGCACCAAGTTCGTCCTGCAGGCCGCCGCCACGCCGCTGCTCCACAGCGACCCCGTTGTTCTGCCGCCTCTCCCCGCCAAGCCTGCCTCGCTGGGCGGGCCCTGCGCCTACCTGGCCCCCGCCCAGCCGACGCTGCCGTCCTGCGCCGGAGACGTCCTGACCCTGAGGGACACCGCCGTCGACTCCCACTGCCACCATCACCTGCACCTGCACCACCTGCACCACCACCAGCACTTTGCCAGCCCTGAGGAGACGCCCTGCGGGACACCGCAGGGAGCCCTGCCCTGCCCCGCCCACATGCACCTGCAGCACCCGGCACCGCCGGTCCGGTATGACCCCGTGACCCAGGACTCACTGCACGAAGACTCGGTCAGAGGATTGGTGAAACTCAGCTCCGTCTGAACCACCGGACAGAAAAACTTCAGGAATGTAACAAAAAACCTTTATAATGACTAAGAACTGATTTATTTTTTATTTTTATTGCTTCTGAGTTTCTAATTCCACCTGTTCAGAGTTTAATTTGGAGCTGCGAAAGTTCACATTTTCACTTTTTGGTGTATTTTATATGAAAAAACAAAACACAAAGTTTTTCATCGGTGGAGAAATGGAAGTCAGACGGTGGTGGGAGAGATATTTGGAGCTAAATACAATACAATCCTGGAAGTGCTGGGATGGCCTAGTCCAAGGGTGGGCAATCCTGGTCCTGAAGGGCTGGTGTCCTGCAACTCTTAGACATCTCACTGGTCCAACACACTTGAGTCCAACAGCTGAGTCACCTCCCAAGTGCAGTCAGGTTCTCCAGAGTCCTGCTAACGACCTCATTATTTGACTCAGGTGTGTTGAAGTAGATACATCTAAAAGTTGCAGGAGACCGGCCCTCGTGGCCTGGAGTTGTCCACCTCTGGCCTAGTCAAACTCCAACTGAGAATCTGCTAAATGTGAAAACTTTCAGAATGAGTTTGAGATGTTTTGTGAAGAGGAAATGTTCAAAGCTGAACAAGAAAAACCTGCAACTGGAACAGAGTCAAAAATTTTCTGAATAAAAAAAGCATGCCACACTTTTCAGATTTACTTCCACTTGCCAGTGAGGGACTACTTTGTGTTCCTAATAAAATACACTGAAGTTTTTGGTTTTTAATGTGGCAGAATGTGGAAAAGGTCGATGCGTATTAATACTTCCACAGGGTTCTGGGTTCATCAGTGCTTTTATTTTGAAATTCAGAACTTTGGGTTGTTTGGTTTCAGGTGTTTAATGCATTCAGGTGACGCAGTTTGAGCTGCACCGGGACCAAAGCTGGACTTCTCTTCTTTCTACCTTCATCTTCCTCCTCAGAGAGGAATTTATTGGACTTTAAATCCAGAATAAGCTACTTGATGATGATGATGACTCCTTCTTCTTCTTTGATTGCTTCTGCAGAGCTATGGAGCTGATGTGGCCCAGCTACACTGCCACACACAGTGTCAAGTTTTATACCGATGATGTCGTCACTGCATTAAATTAAACCATTCTGTGATTTTATTGTGAAGGTCATATATTGTTTCCTTGCTGAAACCCTTCACATTAAAAGATCCGCTGATAAACTTTTACAGAGAAAAACTGAAGTTATCAAACTCCTCAGAGAGAAATAAACCAAACATTTCCTAAATATGTTGTCAGTTTATATTTGATCATTTCTGTTTATTACTATATGGTCCATGGAGTTTAACATTTATTGTGGGTAGTCAGCCTGCAAAATATAATTCCACAAAAATAGAAATGAGGCAAAAGTAAACAAAAAACAAACAATGGAGTTCATCTAACATGAAATGTGTGCATAAAAATAACATTTTAATGAAAATAAATAATATTGTCTCAAAAATCAGGAGTAAGTTTGCATGCAATCAAATTTATAACCAACTGAATTTTAATTAAAATAGGAATATTTGTAAATGGAGTAAAACATGTCGGGCACCCAGGCCGCTAGGTGGCAGACTTAAACTTCCGTAGTACTCCTAAACATCCAATGAGCGGCCGCCGCGGGCGGTAACCCGGATACGGTTACTGGGCGGATTGCCCCGACGTCAGCTGCGAGGGAAGAGGGTTTTAAAAGACATTTGGAAGTTTTAGAGGGAAAACCGAGGAGAATGGTTCAGTTTAAAACGGAATATGAGTTTTATAAAAGGTAAAACATCCGCAATCCAACAGAAATACAGAATATACAGCTATTTATCAGTAAAACAATACTTTATCAAACAGATTATTAAGCAAGAGACTAATTCCTGGAATGTATTCTTTCATTGTAAGCATGTTTGCTGGAATTTCAGAATAAATAAACCGATAACTGCACTAAAATGCATACAGTAAGTTACTTTTTAAGAATTCTGCTGATTCTTCTGTATGAAACATTTTCGCGCTAACAGGTTTGTTGACAACGCCTTTTTATGACATAAACAAAGGAAAAAGCGCGGCAGCTGCACGCAGAAGCCAAAAAAACACAATAAAATCCATCCCATTTTATTTACTGTCTTTATATAGATTCACTTTTGCATAAATTAATCTGTTGCATGTTAAGATGTTGAATTCATCGCAAGAAATCGGGTTTAATACACAGTTACACTGATTACACACGTATCCTGTTGAAAATAAGTCATATGTGTTATTTTCGAAGTTACCACCAAATGGCATCATGATTAGTGTGTTTAAGCTACTGTTTATATTATTATTATTATTATTATTATTATTATTATTATTGTTATTAAATGAATAAAACAATAATTTAGCATTTAAGGATTCCCTTTTGCTGTTATCGACATTCGCGATTTAACGTTGTAGTTTAGACACCTACTTGTTTTTGATCTACGAGAGACATATTTTATTAACATTTTATGTTTCATAAACGGCGACTTTAATTGTTTTGTAACGTCAGTTATTCAGCAGTTTTGTAACTTTTGCCGGTTTGAATTTCCCGCAGTATTTGCACGTAGTACGTAATGACGTTACATCAGCTGATTGGCTGTGTTGTTAAAGGGGTGGCATGGCTGTGGTCCTATTGGCTGGGGGAGTTCTAGCGGGAAGATTCCAATAAAAGAACGAGCGGACAACAGAAGCCGCTTCATTCTCCGCTGTCTGTCTTTATGTTCATTGCTTCTTCTTAGTCCTAGCTTTCTGACCTTTCTTAGTCTCTTTAGACATTAATTTTGTTACTTTTCCTTTTTATTCTTTATATTTGTGTGAAACCGAAGCATTAAAGATGCTGTCTGCGCGCTCCCCTCTCTCTGTGAAGAACCAACAGACTCTCGGCAGTCAGTTAGACAACATGACTTTGGACAAAGAGAACACGGTGAGAGCGGGAAAAAACATCATGTCCGCCCCGATTTATTAGAACATTTATCTTTTAAAATGTCTTTCTTGATCCTCTTTAACGTCTTTGTTCCTTTCCAGCCTCCCAGTCTGAACAGCACCCGCGTGCTGGCGTCCAAAACCGCCCGGAAGATCTTCAGTGAAGCCGCGGTGAGTGTGTGGAAATGTTCCGGAGAAAGATCCGAATATGAACCGAACTATAGTGCTGGTTGAACGGGCTGGCAGCCGCTGGTCGTGGCGCCTAAACTGGAGGAAGTTTAGGCGCCACGACCTAAACTTCCTCCAGTTTAGAACCTTCCGATGCAATCAGATCCGATTTGATTGGATCTGATTGCATCAGAAGGCTCTAAACTGGAGAAAAAGGGTTTTCGGATCCGATTTGATCAGAAGGCTCTAAACTCTAAGTTTAGAGCCTTCTGATGTAATCAGATCCGAATTGATTGGATCACATCAGATCCGATCAGCTCCTTTCTCATTTATTTACCTGCAAATTGATTTATATCTTACAAAATGTGGTATTTTTATTTATGTTGCACATTTTTGTTGTTTTAAAGTAGCTATATTTGGTCTTAACATAAGTTATAAAATTAAAGTAATGCATGTAAAGCATATAAAGAATAATAAAAAATGATTGTGTGTTGCATGAGACTGTAGCTGATATTTGCTTGTTTTCCAGCCTAATGCGGTGAAGAAGAGCAGCTCTGAGGAAGAGGAGCCTCTGCTGAAGGAAAACCCTCGCCGCTTCGTCATCTTCCCCATCCAGTACCACGACATCTGGCAGATGTACAAGAAGGCAGAGGCTTCCTTCTGGACAGCAGAGGAGGTAAAAACCCTAAGAAACGGGTAAACATCCTGACATAATTAATGCAATGCACCCAGAGCATGATGCTGCCACTTCTGTACATGGAAGTGAGCACAGTGTGTGGCTCCTTTCCTCCAAACATGAACTAACATCAGAACTTAAAGTTCAGATTATGCATATACGTATAGCCAGTTTTATCAGAACATCTTAATATTAACAAATTTTGGTAAGAGAAAAGCGTGAGATCTGATATTAACTGCTCAGTCGATGGGATTCTTTCTTCTATAAACTCGTTGCTCAGTCATTTCAATCCTGATAATGAAAATCATTTAATGAATGATTCCCTTATTTGTAAAATCAATACCAGATCATGACCTCTCAACGTTTTTCTTTGTTTTTTGTGTCTGAGATATAAAGCTACTCCTTCAGTCTCCTAAGACCATGATTTCATTGTCCTAACTTTAAAACATAAAATCCCAGCCTGGTTCTTATTCCATTGTATTATTGACCTGAATTCAAAGTTGAAATAAATTGAAGTTGTGAAAACGCATTTGTCAAATAAGATGGCTGCCGTAGCTGCTCTGACGTTACTCCAAAAGTTAAATCTTCAAAATGGAGTTGGATGATATTCTACATCACAGGCCTCAAACTCCAATCCTGGAGGGCCACTGCCCTGAACTGTGCCTCTGCTGCACCACACCTGAATAGAATAATTAGGTCATTAAGGCTCTGGAGAACTTGTCTACACAAGGAGGAGGTAATCAAGCCGTTTCATTTCAGTGTTTTGTACCTGTGGTGCATCTAAAAACTGCAGGACAGCAGAACTTAAGGACTAGAGTTTGACATCCCTGATCTACATCGACTGTTTGGATTTTGAACCTTTTTCTTGAACTATTGAACCTTTTAGCCTAACTCTTTCTGTCTAACCTGTGTTGCCATGGTGATGTGCGTGCAGGTGGACCTGTCCAAAGACCTGCAGCACTGGGAGTCCCTGAAGGACGACGAGCGCTACTTCATCTCCCACGTGTTGGCCTTCTTCGCCGCCAGCGACGGCATCGTCAACGAGAACCTGGTGAGGAACCTGCCGCTGGTTCAGGCCGCGCTCGTTGGGCCCGACCCGTCCCGCTAACACTGTTCCTCGTTTCGGCCACCAGGTGGAGCGCTTCACGCAGGAGGTGCAGGTGACAGAGGCCAGGTGTTTCTACGGCTTCCAGATCGCCATGGAGAACATCCACTCTGAGATGTACAGCCTGCTCATCGACACCTACATCAAGGATCCCAGCGAGAGGTGAGTGGCTCTAACTGGTGCTGCTGGGAGCTCTGGCCGGCCTCCCTCTGACGCTGCGTTCACTGACCCTCAGGGAATACCTGTTCAACGCCATCCAGACGCTGCCGTGCGTGAAGAAGAAGGCCGACTGGGCGATCAACTGGATCGGCAACCGGAACGCCTCCTACGGTAACACCGCCCTCTGTGACCTCACACCGCCGTTGCCGTGGTGCCGATATTGATCAGCTGTGTTTTTGATCGCCCAGGAGAGAGAGTGGTGGCCTTTGCTGCTGTGGAGGGAATCTTCTTCTCTGGTTCGTTCGCCGCCATCTTCTGGCTGAAGAAGAGAGGCCTGATGCCTGGCCTAACCTTCAGCAACGAGCTCATCAGTCGAGACGAGGTGATTTACAGCCCATCAATAACCGATAACTGATCGATAACGATGGCTCGGGGAGTAACGGACTCTGCTGCTTTCAGGGTCTGCACTGCGACTTCGCCTGCCTGATGTTCAAACATCTGGTGAACAAACCGCCGGCAGAAACCGTCACCAAGATTATCCGGAACGCCGTGGAGATCGAGCAGGTGGGGAGGACTGGGAGGACTGGGACTGTACTGGTTAACTGGGAGCTGCTGTTTTTGTTTTGTGTCCTTTTTCCCTACCCTTGTTTCGCACTTTAAGAATCTCATGAACTAATTCTCTAAAATAACGGTTGAGCTCTATGAATTGTGGGAAGTTGAGTATTAAGTGTTTTTATTAAAGCTGTTGCTGGCTCCTCTCTGGTTCTGATGTTGGTTCTGGTTCTGTCCAGGAGTTCCTGACTGACGCTCTGCCTGTGAAGCTGATCGGGATGAACTGCGACATGATGAAGCGCTACATCGAGTTTGTGGCGGATCGGCTGCTGTTGGAGCTCGGCTTCTCTAAGGTACGGACAGAACCGGGTCAGCTGAGGCCTGGTTCCGGTGTGTGGTGATGATCCGCGCAGGGGTACGGACCTCAGCCAGTGATGGGGGCTGAGCGCTGCTGCAGGAACCCATCAGAGCGTGTGGTTCTGATGGACCGGCAGCAGAGCGACACAGACGCCTGTCTGAACACGCCTGCAGTTTCCTCTGGGATCCTGGATTCTCAGCAGAGTGAGACCTCCTGTCCTGTTTCTGTCTCTGCAGGTGTACCGGTCGGAGAACCCGTTCGACTTCATGGAGAACATTTCTCTGGAGGGGAAGACCAACTTCTTTGAGAAGCGGGTCGGGGAGTACCAGAGGATGGGCGTCATGTCGGGTCCGACCGACAACACCTTCAGGCTGGACGCCGACTTCTGAACCGAGCCGGACCGCCTGACCGCTCCAACTGGACCTGCAGTGCCTGGCCTTGATGAACTGAAGGTATCAGCCAATCAGAGCCCTGCAGCTCACCTGGAGTCAACAATGAAACACATTTTCACCTTCAGTGACTCTTCCTGGACTCTTAACTTAATTCCGACGCTGGATTTCTGGGCTTTTATATTTAATTTGTATATAAAGTTACCTTGTTGTTTGTCTTTTTTGTTGTTTTTTAATAAATGTTGGGAATATAAACGTGTCAGTTCTTCATTAAATCTGTTTCATTTCAAGATTTTGAACAAATTTTGGTTTCTATTGGTTTTTCCTCCACATTGGGCTCAAAGTTAAACATGAAGGCTCTAATTTTAGGTTATTGGTAAAGAACATTTCAACCACTTCACCCAGATTTCAGGCCTGATCACTACTTTCTAGCTGCAAAAACTAAAGCTTATTAATTCAAATAAAGGTATTATAATCTGAGCTAAAGGGAGCATGTAGATATTAAAAAGGATTGACTTTTTGGTTGACTTGGTAAAATTGTCTTTTTTTTCTACATTTGCATTGATCCTAGATGTGTTGGTTGCTCCTGGGTTTAATACTAGAGAGCAGTGATTTTAAAGAGTTCTTAAATCAATTTTAATAAAAATTTTTATTTAAGACATTAAGTTAAATTTATGCCTTTTACTTCTGTAAAAACGTTTAGTTCATATAGATAATGTAGTTTATGACTGACTCGAACGCACCGCCGCTCCTTTATCACGTGATCTGTTACGTCACACTAGGAAGTAAACAAAGAGCCGAACGTTTCTAATTAACCGCTTGACCTGCGTCAGAATGTCGATTTCTAACCCAAGACAAGTGTTTTCAAACCCGGTAAGATATTTTATTAACACATGTCTACCTTTTATATCAGATCTAAGCTTTACTTTTGAACTTTAATCCATTTTAATTTGTTTTATTTCTTAAACATGTGCTAGCATGTTAGCTTAGCTGCCCATCTGTCACATCGGAACCAGAACTTTTTAAGCACGTTTGAAATGTTTAGTTTAATTTTTAATGGTTCTGTTTTAATCTAAGTAGGCGGATAAAGTGAAATAAATTAGTTAGTTTTGGTATTGTAAGAGTTGAAGGATGATGACGTCAGTTAAAATAATAAACTTCTATAAAGGAGGAAAATATACAAATTACGAAAGGAAGTCTTGAAGTTTTGATAATTTCCAAAATCTTAAAGTGATGCAGAACATCTCAAAACAAGAGTATGGAAATACCTAGGTATTTAAAATCTTTATTCCTCTTCTCATTGTCTAAATAACGTGACTTTCTTCGGTTTTGATGTAAAATTTTTAAAAATTCATCCATTTAAAGTTAAGTGTATGTTTAGAAGCTGAAAAATGTGGCAGAGCTTCCCTCATTCAGGAATGTTAGTGCATGTTTGGTATTCTGAGCTGAAAGTCTTGTTTGTCCTGTGAGGTCATAAAACATAAAACGGCTTTCCCTTCCCAATATGGCCGACCTGCTGTCATGTGAATCTGGTGGCTGTGGCTTCCGGCTGTTTTCTGTGTGCAGCTCATTGTGTTTTCAGCTGAAAGCATTGAAAAAATAAGTCAAAACAAAACAACTTTTATATCTGGAAGTTGCTGATATTTAATCAGAAAGCGGAAACTTTTTTTCTGGTGTCCAGATATTTCTGTCTCTGTCCACAGTCGATCCCATTCGCTGGCACCATTCTTGGTGGTTTACTGCCCGAGGAGATGGTTCTGATCCAGGGTTCGGTACCATCTGGTGCTGACAGGTGACAAATACGTTTCTGTTTATTTAAATTTACTCTGATTCAGGTTGCTCTATAATCTAACATGGCATTTAATAGAAGCTAAAAAGCACTAACTTATATTATGTACAGATTTATGTTTGTATCTTCTCCTCTCATGTTTTATATTGTTCTTGTATGTCATTTGTTTTAAAGTTATGAGAAAAAGAACAGTCTTCAACCCCTTCAAAATAAGAGCATGAATATAAATGTCTTGGAAGAATTCTCAACAGTCTAACCAAAACCTCAACATAGATGTCAAAATTTATTCAACTGAAAGTTCACGAAACAGCTAAGTTGGTTTAGGATTTATCTGTAATAATTAATTTAGGGGAAGTAAGTGTTTTCAAAGTTAGCAGAAATGCTAAATGCTATTAGCAGATTAGCGGACGTATAACCACCACAGCATCTGAACAATCAATTTCTGAAATACAAACGCCAACGAGGGAAATTTACATTGTTAATATCAACCCAGTCGTAGTTATTGGATCGATCCCGATATGTTAAAAATTACTGTCATCGTCCGATACTGAGATTAAAATTTAAATATTGTGCATTTCAGAATGAAAATGTTATTTTTTTAGCTCGTTTTCTCTGCGACTTCTCTCAGGTTCCAGGTGGATTTTACGTGCGGCAGCAGCGTAAAGCCGCGGGCTGACGTGGCATTTCACTTCAACCCCAGACTGAAGAAGAAGCGCATCGTCTGCAACACGCTGGAGAAGGAGCGCTGGGGCAGCGAGGAGATCATGTATCAGATGCCTTTAAAAGTCGGAGGTGCATTTGAACTCATCATCCTGGTCCTGAAGGACAAGTACAAGGTGGGAGACACTGCTGTCCTCACAGCTGTTTTATTATCCAGAAGAAGTTAACTAATATGTTACATCAAGTAGAGTGGAAATGTCAATATATAAACAACAAAAAAAAACCCTTTTGAATATTTTCTAACGCCTCATCTGGCTGTTAAATCCTGAGCAGTCGGGTTCAACCATGTTGGTGGAGCAGCTACCAGGTTAGCTCTGCTGGATGAAGCCACAGCAGTTTTTGGGGTTGTTGTTTTTGCTTTTTAGAAAAAAGTTGGTATATTTGCTGCTAGTTTTTATACAAAACATTTCTAGATTTGTCTGAAGTGAACTTTAGAAATATAAAAACTTGCTAAATTTGTTGCTAGTTGCTTTTTTTCATTAAAAACTTGCTACAGTTGTCGCTAGTGGCTATTTAAGAGTCACCAGATTTATCACTAATCGATTTTTTTTTTTTGATAAGTCCATTGATTTGTTGCTAATGGCTTTTTTGATTAAAAAGTTGCTAGATGAGTTTGAAAAGTCGCTAAGTTAGCATCAATGTTGTCTCCCTTTTTTCTGCTAAATAAAACTTCAGACTGAATTAATTCTATGTTTTTATCAACACTGGACATTCAAGCCTTGCCATTAGTTCTGGGGTACCACAAGGCTTGTTGCTCGGTCCAGTTCTCTTTGTCCAGAAATAAAGTTATTAAAATAAATGGGATAAGTTTGTTTTAATCAGAAGATAAAAACCAGAAGTGATGTGTGTTTGTTTGTCATTAAGGTTGCGGTAAACGGAGCACACGTGTTGGAGTACAAACACCGCGTGGACCTGAACCGGGTCGACACCATCCTCATCTCAGGGACAGTCGAGGTTCAGGCTGTTGCTGTTCTTCCTCCTGCTTCTGTAAGTTGATTTGAATGACGGGACGTCCAACCAACCATCCAACAAACCAACCAGCCATCCAACATGTCTGTCTGTTTCAGAGTCCCGCCTCTCCTGCTTCCAGTCTGACCAGCCTGAGTAGCTCAGACTCTGAGGTAAACAGCTTGGAAACGTTTTTCCACTTCCTGTTGTTTCAGATTTTAAGTTTTTCATTTCTCCCTTTTCCAGGCGATTCTCTCGTTCAGAGATCTGGTGAGTTTTTCTGCTTCACTTCCAGTTTAAAAAACAGGAAATTTAAACGTGTGTGAATTCCTGTTCCTAAATCTGTATCTGGTTTCTACCTGGACCTTCTCCGTCCCTTTAGTCGTCTTCGACCTGCCTGAATGAAAATCAAACCTGGATCTGAATAAATTAGAAAAAGTAAATTTATTTCACAAAGTAATATGCTCCCATTTAGTTCTCATTAGCTTACAAATAAAACATGCAAACCCAAAATTCAGCTTTCAGGTTTCATCAGAGGTGTGACTTGTTGAAAACTTTATTTTTCATAAAAGGTCATGAGAACAATTTGAAAAGTTACTAAATATAGTGAAAGGTTTTTTTTTTTAAGTTTCCATCAATGCTTCCCCATTTAACTTAAAATCCATTTGGGATAAATAAAGTATTTTTGAATTTGTTGTTGTTCAGCAGGTAAATGAAACATTTCAGTCTATAAATTTCTCCTGCAAAAAATTTTCATACTTTTAAATTGTTAATTGTTAAACTTAATCATTTTAATAAAAAAGATAATTTATAGATTTTATTAAATAATAACCTGAGATGATTAATTGTATAATTTAATGTTTTTAATTAAATTATAATTAAAACTAATTTAGTCATATTAATGAGATTATTTTTGTTGATCTCAGAAAGTTCCCTTCAGAGGACGGCTGGAGAAGGGGTTAAAGGTCGGACGCAGCATCATCATCAAAGGACAGACGAGTCCGAATGCAAACAGGTAAAACACACCTGATGGTGTCACTGACTCCGCCCCCCCCCCGCTGTAGATTGATCCATGTGTGATGTTCCAGTTTCGGCGTTAACCTGCGCGACGCCAGCGGCCGTGACGTCGTCCTCCACCTGAACCCCCGCCTGGCCAAACGAGTCTTCGTCAGGAACTCGTTCCTGTCCGAGTGTTGGGGCGCCGAGGAGTTGGACCTGGAGGTCTTCCCCTTCGCGGCGGGGGAGTACTTCGAGGTGAGCGTCCCTGTTGACCGTCTGGGTCCGGTCCGGCCCGGTTCTGAGCGCCTCTGTTCGCCCTGCAGATGATCGTCCGGTGCGACGCGCGGCACTTCAGGGTCGCCGTCAACGGATGCCATCAGTTCGACTACAAGCACCGAGTCCAGGACCTGAGCGCCGTCGGCCAGCTGGAGGTGGTGGGCGACGTGACGCTCATGGACGTCCGGATGACCTGAGAAACACTAAACACTCACCGTACAGCTGGGGTGTCCAAACTGGCTCAGGTGTTTACCACGGCGCAGACAGAAGGAGCAAAAAACTCAGAAACATTCTGGAAACAAAACTGGGAAATTTCTAGAAAGCCATGGAAATTTCCAGAGTTTCAAAAGTTGAAGAATTTATCAGTAAAAAACTAAAAAAATTCAGCATTTAACCTCAAAAGTTTTCTAGAAAAAACATGGAAATTTGAGTTTTCAAAGTAAAAAATTTGACTTTTTCAACAGAAATTTCCACGTTTTTCTTTCAGACTCAAAATTCAAACTTAGTTTTTTAGTGGAAATTCATTACTCCTTTTATTTTATTTTCAATGGCCAGGTTCATAGGCGTTTCTATTTTTAATTAGGATAAAATTATCACAGTATTCTGTAGCCAATATTTTCTTTCTTAAAATAAAAATATTGGCTGCAAAAAACCTGTTTGGATACATAATAATCCCTTTCCAGCATCAAATCTGGCTGTTTCTGTGTAAGTCAAGTATTACATGCTTAGTTTATTGAGGAGGTGAAATAAGTTATTTTTGGCTTCCAGGTATTCTTGTTTCGATGAGACGTTTGGACACCCCGGCCGTGAAGCATGTCTGACGCCTCTGATATTCTATCATTAACATTAATTAATTACTGCAGTGATTTCTGGATCAATGTGACGGATTCAAGGCTAAGAGTGAAATAATCCTAATGCTTGATTATAACATTGAATGTTGTATTATTACTGGCCTCTTAAAGAGGAAGATGACCGTTTTTTGCACTCAAGGATGTAAAGATGTGAAGAGAAGAAAAGATGGCGGATTCATGTAGATTGATTTTGTTTTTAATGTTGTGACTGATGGAAAAATAATCTGATAACATTAATCCAACATGCTGTGCTAAGAATTTACTTTAACGACTTTTTTTTGTGCACCATAACACTTTGGCTCCCTTGCAGTGTGACGTCACGCCTCCCATCGTCCTGCTGGAGGGCAAAAATATCCGCTAGCCGACGATGACTAGCATTGGTTTTAGCTGTTAAGTTGTAAATATCACACGCGAAATGTTAAATGTGCGCCTGATATCTAAAAGATAAAGTGTGCTTTGCTACTAATTCACACTAAAGCTAGTGTTAACATTTAGCTTTAATGTTAAGGTAGAGAAAAGTTATGCTAGTTTGACAACTACAGCATGTAGACGTGATTGAGTTCGGTGTTTCGGTCGAGTTGAAACACCGGATCAGTAGGACATTAAATTATCTAATCTGCCACAGCGATTAATAGCAAAATAAACATCAAACCTGAAGACATAAAACATGTTCCGTTTATGTAGAAAATGTTTTTCTGATCCTGATACATTGGTGACATTGCCAGTTGCTATGGCAACGAGACTGCTTGTAAAAGGTTGATTAAAAAGGTTTAAATATTTCATTGTTCTTCCCTTTGCTGCGGTGCATAGCACTACACACCTACATCTCATCTAATGGTTAACGGAAATGTTCTAGCGGCCATGGCAGCGTTGTGCGCATGCGTGACATTTCCTCATGTAAACAAGGTGTAAAGGGTAACGTGACATGGATATTTGAGACCATTTAAAATTAAGGTCTTAGCTAGGCTATAAATACAAAACCTTAACTCAGCAGTCCAAACTGCCAACACTTATGAGAACTAAATGTAAAAAAAAATGAAAGTTAGGCTGGGCCTCTTAAAAAGGAAGATGACAGTTTTTTTGCACTCAAGGTTGTAAAGATCCTTGATCAGGTGGGGAGGACAGTCCAGTCCTCCACTGCTTCATCTTTGAACTGTGTCCAATCTGAGGATCTGAGTAGCTTTATGGCACCATCCAACCAGCCAGCCTCATAGCAAAGACTTCTCAACCTGCAGAGACAGAAACAGGACAGGAGGTCTCACTCTGCTGAGAATCCAGGATCCCAGAGGAAACTGCAGGTGTGTTCAGACAGGCGTCTGTGTCGCTCTGCTGCCGGTCCATCAGAACCACACGCTCTGATGGGTTCCTGCAGCAGCGCTCAGCCCCCATCACTGGCTGAGGTCTGTACCCCTGCGCGGATCATCACCACACACCGGAACCGGGCCAGAACCAACCTGGTCCTGTCCGTACCTTAGAGAAGCTCCAGCAGCAGCCGATCCACCACGAACTCGGTGTAGCGCTTCATCCCTGTCAGCTTCACTGGCAGAGCGTCAGTCAGGAACTCCTGGACAGAACCAGAACCACCAGCAGAACCAGAGAGGAACCAGCAACAGCTCTACTAAACATTTTAAACAGTCCTCAACTCTAATTTTGGAAATTAAAAGTTCACTGAATTTATGACAGAAACTTCTAAATTGGGAAGCAAGGTCACAAGAAAAAAGCGAAGGAAAGATTCAAAAAAGGAATAAAAGATTCATAGAATGAGGGATGCAGAAAGAAGAAGGAATAAAGGACATAATGAAAGAAGAACATAAGGAAAGGAGAGAAGACGAGGACAGAACACAAAATACAGGATAGGAAAGATTTAAGGAAGAAAAGATGGAAGTAGGAAAGAACAGGGACAGAAATAAAAGGAAGGAAGGACATAAGGAAGACTGTTACCTTCCAATAAGTCCCTTTTTTCAGATCTTTGGACAGATTCATCTGGACACGTGATGTAAACAGGTCAGAGGTCAGGTGATGACGTATACAGGAGTTTCCTTCAACAAAGGTTCCTCTGTTAGAAACAATAATTTTAAAATTACATTTTATACAATGACCTCAGTACTCCAGAAAAAAATAGATAGATAGATAGATAGATAAATCTTTATTGTCATTGTCACAAGAACAACGAAATTTAAAAAGTGCCGTCAGTCAGTGCATATGCTTAAAAAAAAAAAAAAAAAAACTTGTCTCACACTTTACAATACTGTAAAAAATACTTAACAAGTAAGTGATGAAAAAAAAATAAACAAAAACTAACAAATAAGAATATCCATTTTAATGTGAAAATTCGTCTTATGAATAAAATATTATCAATGTTTGTCTCTTTTAAACATTCAGTCCCAAAATCATTTTTTCCACTTTAGTGGCCAGAAAAAGATTTCAACTGTTAAAGATCTAAACTCATCTTCAATGGTTTTGGTGTTTACAGCATCAACACCAAATTTCAGAGTCACGGTCAGAAATTAGCCGTTTTTTTATTACTAAATACCAAGTTAGCCCCGATCAGCTTGTTGGAGGTGATTAAACAAATATTTCTTTTGAATATCCCCCTAAAAGGCTGGTTTTAACTCTTACCCTGGTCTTCTTGTACATCATTGCGTCGATTTCAATCTTACGAGTCTGTTGTTTCTGAACGAAGAGAAACAAAAACTGCATCGTCAATGCTTCTGTTTCACATAAACATCATAAAATAAAAATATTTAAAAAGTTTAAACTGGAGAAGACTAAAGTTAAAAGGTCCAGAGAGCTAAGCTAAGCTAAGCGCTGCGGTCCCATCACGGCTGTTTCTTTCCTTGTTTTAACTGACGTTCCTTTTCCTCCAATCGAAATCTTTGAGCTACAACTAGCCAATAGGAGCCCGGCGCTGTCTGTCGCTTTGAGAGAGCAAAGCCAATGAGAAACGAGAACACGTCCAACCGGACGTCACCGTTACAAGGTTTTAAACTGTAAGAGTTAAAATAAATAAAAGTTTTATTGGTAGAAATGCAAACTATGCTTGAAATATTATAAATAATATTGTTTTAAAACTTATTTCTTTATATTTAGGAAGTTGAGGTGGTAGATTTGAGATATTTCATTCTTAAAACAGATCTGTTAATTAGGATATAGAATATTTTATGCCCCCTTTTTTAAAAAAAAAAACTGTTAATTTATCTTTTCATACATTCGCCCCATCAATAATAATATTATTCATCTTAGGAAATGGGATTTTATCTAGTTTCTGTAAATTTCTAACATAAATTAATACTCTTAGCATATTTTCTTAGGTTGAGAAATTATTAAATAAATGTCCAATGGACTAAATGCCGTTATCCATACCGTTCACATGAATACAGATGCCCTTTTATGTAAAATATTATTCAATATAGGAACTGTTAAAACTTTATTTCAAAACTTTAACTATTTGTCACAGCAATATGTAAAAGAAATTATGCATATTTTTTAAGAACAGTGGAAGCCAGAATAAATGTCTCTTATTTTGTCTCGTCTTTAAGGAATCTTCATGTTGAATCTCCTAATTCAGAGATAAACTTCTAGGATTTTCCCGTTTTATTGAGAACATAGAAATCAAAATAGTCACACAACTCTCAGGAGATGAAGGGAACCAGGACGGAGGGAACCAGGACGGAGGCAACCAGGACACAGGAAACCAGGATGGAGGGAACCAGGATGGAGGGAACCAGGATGGAGGGAACCAGGATGGAGGGAACAGGATGGAGAGAACCAGGATGGACTCGGATGTAGTTTTGAAGTTCATCTTGGTCTGAAAGCAGCTGTTCATCAGGTCAGCAGGGTTAATACCGTTTTCTTCCTTCTGATCTTAATCTCACTGCATCTCCTCCCTTCCAGCCTCCATCGGCTCAAACTCAACAGGTGAGGCCGTTTTTAGGCCATTTGGTCTCAAATCTTCCCCAGCAGCGGCGCGCCGGCAACACATCCGGCTCGTTACTAACAGAACCGGAGTCTGATTGCATCAAGCTGCTGCGGGAAACGGTGGAACTCTCCCACTGCTCACAGAACAAAATTTAAAAGGAGAAACAGAAACTCAGGTGAATCATTTTCAGCAGACTCTGTTGGAAAATAAAAACCCAGCCAGAGGTTAGAAATCCTCCTTCTCCTTCTGGTCCCAACAGGAAGTAAAACACTGAGCCTGTTACAATAAGCAATAAATCAGTTTATCACATGATAAATTAAAACAATGATTTCAATTGCATGATTTCTCTTTTACTAAAACTGGATGAATAAAGTATTCATTTTGGAGTTTTGTTCTCAACTAGCCATTTCCTAGAAGGACATTTTTTTTAGAGACTTCATAAATCATTTTATTTTTATATCATTTATTTTGGATATTTTGGATATTTAAAAAGTCCTGCAGTTTCAGTGTTAAATGTTAATTAGAATTGAAAGTTTATTGATCTTTGAGAATGAGCTGTTTTAATACCATTTTCAACCAATATCATGGCAATAGCAAAATAATGCAAGCACAAATTCTCAACATTTCACACTGGAAGTGGACGACATTTTAAATATCCAAATAAACAGAAACTACAAATAAAATAAAAAATTATCCTTAAAAAAAAGGTTTGAGACCAAAACACGAAAAACAATAAATCATGCAAACGAAATTGAGAATTCTGATGTTTCTGAGGAGAAGATGGGAGGCCAGTCGACATTTCAGGAACAGAAACCATGAAATGTTTGGAGAAAACAAGAATAAAATGAGCCAGTAGGGATTAAGATGAGAGAAAGATCAGAGCCTCAGAGGAGTAATTCAAAAATGCAGCTGTTTTATGTTTTCCACAGAAGATAAACAGTAGGTTCTGGACCTTCAGAACCAGACTGGTCTGCAGATGGACTCCAGGTCAGCTTTATATGAACGACCAGCTGGCTCTATCAACAGAAACCTGTTGTCAGGAACAATGTCCTGGACAGACCCCTCCTTTAAAGCTGTCTGACAACATGAAGTCTGCTAAAAATCCAGAGAAATTCAAGAATAGATGAGAAACAAAGTAGTTTTACTAGACCTGCAGTTTTGCCTCCCGCCCACAGGGCGTCACTGTTCTCCGTAAAACGCAACCCTGGCCAGACTCCGCGGCCTTTTTGTTTATTTTCCCTCGCTTCTTTTGGCTGCAGCTGAATGTCGGTCAGTAAGGCAAAAGGGCGGAGACACGAAGTTTAAGTTACACGCCTCCGTGCTCTCCCATTGGTCACGCCCCCTCAATGCTGGCCCCTGATTGGTCGGTGGTTGTTACCGGGTGGTGTGGGGAGAGAGCAGCGGAGGTTCGGTTGTGTAACTTCGTACGTCAGAGTCCTGCGGTCATAAACGGGACGCTGTTTATATAACGCAGCTCAGAAAGGTGAATTAACTTCATATGTTTCAGTTGAACTCTTTGTGTTTTTTGTACTTGTTAATCTACTAGAAGACAAAATAAATAACCTAAAAACACAAAACAAGCTACAGAAATCCAAATATAAGTCAAACAGACAAGAAAAAACAAAAAAGAAAATCTTATTTCAACATATAAAGTTAGAATTTTGCCTTTTATTTATATGTGTTCTTGTGTGTTAGTAATTAAAATATATTTGCTGTTTGGACAAGTAAAATAGGTGATAAGTGAGTTCTCAGGGGTTGTTGAGTATTTGTGGATTTTAATCATTTATGGTCCAAAACAACCTCCATTACTTTATTTTTTCCTATTAGAAATGCTGGAAAAATCATTACAAATTGCCCATATCATCCTCAAAAGGACGGTAGTTACTTAAATGTATTTTAATAATTGGAAAATATTCCTTTAACAGCTTAATTGCACCATACTTTTACTTGATTAGTATTACAAAGTAATTTCTACCTGTGAGTTTAATGAGCTTTATGTTGGAAATTTTTGATTTCAAAGTGTTTCTTCTGCTTGAATTTTTAAATATATTAATTATTTGTATTAATCTTTTCATTCCAGTCTTTAAAATACTAGAATTTGTATATAACTATATTTCTATTGGTCTAATGACATTTTTAAATATTAAATCATGTTATCAGTACTTTAGTAAAATTTTTATCAGCAATTTCTTGAATGGCTGTTTTTTACTTTTATTTTTTATTATTATGACAACATAACTATGTCGGCATAGTTATGTTCTTAATCTTCCCAACTTATAGAAAAGCAACACAAATACAAAACAATCAAGAAGTTCATTGTAAAGTTTTATTATAAAAGCTATATTGTTCACTGTTGTCAACAAACAAATGTATGGAAATGGGATTACTCTGATATAAACTGTTATTATTAAGAATAACATTTAATAACATGAGGTATTCTTACTGGCTACACTATGGGCCAAATCAAGATATTAAAAACAGCACTTTTTCCTCAACAAAGAATGTTAAATAATAATAATAATAATAATGAATAAAGCAAATATAGGTAGTATCACAGTGATGAATACTGTCCACTGACATTTTTTAAAAAATATCAATAAATGGAGATTGGAATACATGTAACATTCATATAGATATCAGTATATTTACAATATTTACAGTCAAACAAACAGAAGTTGGCTAGTAACAGAAGCACAATACAGAAGCTTTGGCAAACAATAAACCTTGTGCATACGTTCTGCTAAATGTGACATGTACACATGAAGTAAACATCATACATGGAGAGAGTATAAAAACAAGTAAGATTTTTATTTTTAAAAATCCAGTGCAAAGTCAGGTTTTTGTTGGTTCTGTTTGTGGATGAGTAGCAGCCTTCATGTCCTCCTCCTCCCTTTTTGCAGTGAGTTTTGTGGTTGTGGTTGTAAAATGTCCTGAGTAAAGCGGAAAAGCTGTGAGTCCGGGTTTATGGCAGCACGGATATTTTAAAACATGGTGCGTATGTGAAGCGGTTCCTTCTGTCTGATTGTAGCGCTTCTTCCATCGCGACGAGGACGGACATGTTTACAGGAAGTTCTTGATCTGAGTTCACCAGGATTTGCGGACCCTGTTCTGATGTCTTGTAAACGTAGCCGGGGACTGAATCCTAAGCCTTGGAGTCCTGAGTTGCCCCCGCCAGTCTTTCAGTTGGCGGTGGAGACGAGCACGCCGAGGGGAAGTGTGGGGCCCTTGTTTTGGCCCTTGGGCGCGGCGGCTCCTTTCGCCAGGTCCCTGGTTTCCGGGGGCCACGAAGACGCCCTTTTGGTGGTCATGTGCCGCCGGGCATGTTTGGTCAAATGGTCGCTGCGCATGAAGCGCCGGTCGCACACGGTGCAGACGAACTTCTTCTCGCCCGTGTGCGTCCGGCGGTGGCGGGAAAGCTCGTCGGAGCGGGCGAACCGCTTGTCGCAGCCTTCCCAGTGACAGCTGAACGGCTTCTCGCCTGCAGAGAGCAAGAACGGGTCGGTTAGAGAAACAGAAACACAGAACGCTTTCCGACTCAACGCCGGACTCACACTTAGGGCTGCACAGATTACAATTTTTTTCTGTGTCTAACGATTATTACAGTAAAAGATTATTCTATCAATTTATTTTGACAATAAATTAATTACTCTAATGATTAATCTGATGATTAATTGATAATTCTTATTGATATTTATGCTTTTCTAATATTGTATAAAATATTAAACGACCAACTACTAAATTAGTTGACAATTATTTCAACCATCGATTAATCATGATTGACTGTTTCTGCACTAGCTGTTATTGGATTTTCAATAAAATAGGTATATCCTTATTTTTAATGAATTAAGTTGTTTATTTACATTTTAAACGTATTTCTAATGTTGTATAAAACAAGTGATTAAATGATTAACCGATTACTTTTTGATGAATTTTTATTCTTGTATTTTTATGATGTACAGCCTATTGAATTGCCTTGTTGTTGAAATGTACTATACAAATAAACTTGTTTCATTGATTACTAAATTAATTAATTTCAATAACTGATTAATTATTATTATTTGTTTCAGCATGCATCGGCTCCACTAACTCGTACCTGTGTGTGTGCGCAGGTGAGCCTTGAGGTGTGAACTCTTGAAGTAGGTCTTCTTGCAGCCGGGGAAGGTGCAGACGTAGTTCCGTCTGCGGGAGAAGTCGGCCTGCGAGGCGCCGCTGCTCGTTCCTGACGGCATGTAAACGGGGGCGGGGGCCAGGGGGAGGAGCTTGGTGTTGCCCAGGGTCATTACAGTCTGGGGACCCTGCGTTGTCTGTGACATCGGCCCCTGCGGCACCACGAACATGACTGCCCCCTGCGGCACGGTGGAGCCCACCAGCAGGGGTTGGGTGAAGGTAGGTGGAGGGGACTGGGGTCCGGCTTGGGTCTGGACCTGGACCGGAGCCTGGACAAACGCCGAAATCATTCCTGTCTGGCCTCCGACCGGAAAAACCTGGCAGAGAACCGGAGAGGGAGAGGAGGGAACCGCAGAGGAAGACGGAGGGGGCGTGGCGTTCTTCTCCACGGGAGGCAGCTCCGGCGGTGTGGGTGTGTCCGTCTGCGGGGAGGAGGGCGACGGCACGGGGAGGCTGTCGGCGGTGTGGCGGATGACGCTGGTGGCCATAGCCTTGCCTGGCAGAACCATGCAGGGTGGCTCGATGTGAGGGGGCGGCGTGGGGATCTCAGGGGAGGCGCAGGGCTGCAGGGGGCGGAGCATTAGCTGTCTGGAGGCGGGGCTTGGGGCGGAGCTTGTGGTGAGGACAGTCGTAGTCGATGCCTCGGCAAAGCTCGGACTGTGAGGCGGAGTCATACACTGAAAAACAAGAAAAGCTTTTCAGTCCTCCATTTCTGCTTTCTGATTGGTTGCTTTCCTAGTTTTGCTGGAAACTGATCAATGATCATGATTTAAGTGTTTCACATCAGTCAATAGACCCTTTTCACATGACGTCACACAACTTCCGTTTTGGCTCGAAGCTGTGTATCCTTAGTTCCAGTGTACATAGTAATGATAAAGTTGTCTATTTCATATATATATATATATATATATATATATATATATATATATATATATATATATATATATATATATATATATATATATAGAGAGAGAGAGAGAGAGAGCTAAAGAGATATATATGTATATATCTGACAGCATATGTTGATCAGACAGAACACCGGAGCATGGAGTTTACACAGTCTCTAAAACATTTGCCTAAAATAAGATTTGAAGATATATCACGATTTGCAAACCAATTTTCTCTGACAATGCGGGAATTTTTCAGCTTGGTTCC